CTTTTTTTTTAGATTTTTGGTATAGGGTGTGTGCACTTCCTGGAAAGGGACAGAGAGGGAAAGTGAGAAATCACTCCCTGGAAGGATGGCCATGCTGCAATCCCTTCTCCTCCATTCTTTTCTTGGGATTCCAGCCATATTCGCACATGCCTGGTGTGTTCCCCAAACTGCCAGTTCTGGGACTTGAACTATAAAATCTGCCACGTGGAATCCAGCACTTTTTTTGTTTTGAGAGAGATTTTTTTCATAGGATGCCTGTGCTTGCAGGAGAGACAGAGAGAAAGTAAGAAAGACACAAAGAAAGTAAGAAATCATCCTGAGGGTGGGAGGATGGCCACACTGCAATCCTTTCTCCACTATACTCTGAGAATCTTAGGCACACATGCACACACTTCTGGCGTGAATTTTAAGCCACTGAGTCTGGGATTTGAACCACAATCATGTGAGAGTCCAGCACCTTATCCTCTGTGCCACCTGCTGGTCTTGTGAAATCTAGCACCTTAACCATAATGCCACCTGCTGGCCCTCCACTTTACACTTTTTATATGAATTAACTGACAAAATGGGACAAATTGAGATCATCAGCTCAGTAAGGGTGAAGATTTTTACTGGTATTGTGGAAAAGGCTTTTAAGACCTGCTTTTGCCCTGCTCTGTGATCTTACAGATGCTGTGAACTAAAGGCCCGGTGAGAGACTGAGGAGAATCTAACTGCAATCCGAATGTCTCCCAAGCCCATCTGAGTGGATGAACATCCATTTCTGTTTCCAAATACAATATTAATTTTCTCTTCACCCTCAGGTTGCTGATTTGATCCCTTGAGAGCCCTGCGTGGAGGGCAGGGAGGGGGCCTAAGCTGAAGTGACTAGGAGCTGAAATTTTTTTTTTTTGGAGAGGTTTTTGCTACAGGGCACGTGCGTTTACCAGAGAGACAGAGAGAGACAGAAAGCAAGAAATCACCTCCCAGGGGGGATGGCCACGCTGCAATCCCTTTTCCTCCATTCTCCTCCTGGGATCTTGGGCACACATGCACACGCGCCCGGCATGAGTTTAAGCCACCAGGTCCAGGACTCGAACTGCGCATGACTACATGGGAGTTCAGTGATATAGCCAACTACTGGTCCCAGGAGCTGAATTATTAAAAAGCCTGGCCTGGGGAAACAGAGGGACAGGGAAGGTAGAGGCTTGGATAGGACATAGCAAAGGAATTGAGGGCACTAGAAAGAAGACTGAAGGTGCTCAGAGAAGGAGGGAAAGGCAGAGCAAAAGGAAGGGAGAGGTCTCAGAGCAGCCAGTTCAGGGAGATAAGTTCCCCAGAAGCCACTTAAGTTTTTCAGCAAAAGCATGCCAACAAGGAGGTGGACAGAGAGAGTGAAGCACGTGACCAGCAGGGGTTAAGAAAAGGGATTCAGTTGACTGAGAATTTCTCATGGGAGAAGCAGGAGCCAGCAGAGAGCCAGGATGAAGGATCCAGCCTGAGGAGTCAGGGAATGTTCTCACTCAGGAAAGGGGCAGGAAGAAGAGACTTCCAGCAGAGGTACCTTCCAGACAGAGAAGGCTGGGCCCCTAACTTGGCTTCTTACAAACAGCTGTTTGCTTGTGACTCAGTTTCTTACACACAGAAGAGCCTGGGACTCTAACCCAGCTTAGTGTACACAAAGAATCTTGAGGATCAAAACCTTTCCCGACTGTGCTGCAGTGGACGTTCACCAAAAGTCATGGTTCAGGAGCCTGATGCACGGATGGAACCCTGACCCATCAGGGATCGGTCAGGAGTGAAGACAAAGGGCCCAAAAGTGCACGCTTAGGGTCCTGGGTGAGAGGCCCTGGGGTCAGTGATGAATCTGAGCCCAGCTGAATCACAACACCATATCATTAAAGACGAAAAAGTTTCACGATACTTGTTAAAACACAGTAAGGCTTTAATTAATTAATTAGGACCCTGGTTATAGTTACAGGGACCACTGCAACAGAGCCTTGCAGGGGAGGAGACAGACTGGGCTCAACTCTGAATACAGTGAGGGCAGGTGAGTGACAGGAGCAGGGTGGGGGTCAGAGGGTGGGAAATCGGTAAGAGGACACATCAGGGGTCACGGGGGTTCTCTCCAAGCCTATTGGACAGAATCCTTGCTGAATACAAGCCAGGGTGATGGTAAAGAACAGGAACTTGACAGATATGGGGGGATGCTAAAACTGGACTTTACAAAGAAGTGCACAGATAGGTCTGAGAGAAGGTTCTGGAAGCTGATTAAATTTAGATCAAGCAAAGAATCTTTGTCAGGATCATGGTTTCTTACTAACACTTCTTATAAAAGAAATATAGAAAAAACAGGAAGTACAAAATATATGGGGAAATAAAGAACTGATCATTGAATGACTCAGCTCTGGGGCCAGCAGGTGGCATGCTGGTTAAGGTCCCACATGGCTGATTGTAGTTCAAGTGCCGGACCTGGTGACTTGAAACTCAAGCCAGGCGCATGTGTGTGTGCCCAAAATCCTTAGAGGAGAATGAGGGAGAAGGGCTTGTGGCGTGGTCATCCCCCCTGGAGAGGTGATTTCTCACTTTCCCTCTCAACTGTCTCTCCCTCTCAGGCATGTGCCTTATGGCAACGCCCCCCCCCACCACCACCACCAAGAAATAGCCATTGCTTATATTTTATATAAACATATGTTTTCAATTCAGTAGCCACTAGCCACACACGGTTACTTAATTTAAATGAATTAAAATGACATAAAATTTAAAACATTACTTTCTTTTCTGCATTACAGCCTTCTTGCGGACATTTTAAGGATTATTTTATTTAACTTTATTTATTTACTTATTTTTAAATTTGACGAGAGAGGAACAGAGAGAGAAAGAGAGAGAGAGAGAGAAAGCAAACCACCAGCTCAGGGTGGTTTGCTAACACCACGCCACTTGCAGGCTCCCTCATTTCTTTTTTCATGAGTCAGTACTGTATCATTCTTTACACCTTCCTAGTTGGCTAGTGTGGCTGTCAAACTTTAGCAATACAGTACTTTTGGGTCTCAACTTGAAAAAGAGTGAAATTTTGAGGGGCTTCTGCAGTGCAGGGGCTGGTGGGGCAGGGTGGGTGACCAATGGCTGTTGCCATTCATATTAGCTGTGTGGTGAGGTGGGGCTCCTCGGCGGCTGTTTGTGGAGATTACGAGTTAATGCGCAAGTGGCACACAAATCGTTGGATCAATAAACGTCAGCTCCCCACTCCTTGGCCCGCGTCTCCACGGTTGGGAAGTTGAACTTTTCACTGGGTTTTAAGTGGAACTTACATCACAGCTAAGAACGTCTTTGTACAGCTTGCTTTTAGTCTTTTGCAGCTTTCCTTGAAATCTACTCCCCAGAGAGACGCAAGTGGTCAGAGAGCACAATCACTCAGACGCTCAGAGAGTGTGTGTCAGTCTACAGAGCTTGGCCCGCGTCTCCACGGTTGGGAAGTTGAACTTTTCACTGGGTTTTAAGTGGAACTTACATCACAGCTAAGAACGTCTTTGTACAGCTTGCTTTTAGTCTTTTGCAGCTTTCCTTGAAATCTACTCCCCAGAGAGACGCAAGTGGTCAGAGAGCACAATCACTCAGACGCTCAGAGAGTGTGTGTCAGTCTACAGAGCCGCCAGCCAAGCTGCCCCCCACTGCCCCGTGGTGGTGACTGAAATGCAGTCCCGCTGGGGGTCTAGACGTGGGGCAAGGGTGAAGCCAATTCCACATTTTTTTTTGTCCCAGGAAGACCCTGCTGCTGGATCTGGAGGGTCCAGCAGGATGACTTCAGAAGCATCCCACCAGGGACCACTGCATCTGCATCCTGGACCCCTGTATGCAGGAACTTTTGCAGCCCCCTCAGTCCAAGACCACCAGCAATAAACGTGCAGTCACACAAAATGAGATTTACTGACCCATTGCAGAGAAGGAAGGTGTCGCAAGAACAGGGGGAAAGGCAGCGTTCTCAGGGTCTGGGGAGGGTGGAGTTTACGTGAGGTTTGCATGGAGTAGGGCTGGACAGGCTCAGGGCGGTGGGCACAGTGGACCCGTGTCTCCTCCCGCACACTGGAAGACTGCGAACTTCGGGAACCTCTGTCTGAAGCCTGGGTTGGGACGGAGAACACTGTGTCTATCAGACACAGCTCCTCTGGTCAGAAAGGGACTGCTGCGATTTCGAAGGGCAAAATGCCTGCTGGCCTGTGCTTTAGGGAACAGAGATTCTCAGGGTGCGGACGTGGTCACTTAGAGTTGGTGGTGTCGAGAAGCCTGGGGTGTGTCACCACGTGCCCACACGTTGGTCGTGTTGACAGGGAATACTGTCCCTGGTCTGCCAGCCGCTTTTCCCTGTCACCTGGGTCTGGTCACCTGGGTCTGGGTTGGCAGGCTGATTTGCATCCTAGTATGAACTAGTTCTTGCTTTCTTAACTGGAGTTTTCAGAGCCAGCCCTGCCCCCAATTCAGGAGACTGGGCCCAGGAGGGGCTGCCTTTTAAGCTTAACGTTAACTAGGCCTCAGCCACACCCCAGTCCCGCGGCACTCCCTGCGGGGAAGCAGCCGGCGACCTTGCGCTAGCGAAGGACAAGGTCCCAGAAATTGGCCGGAAGGCAGCGCCCCTCCCCGCTTGGGCTGGAGCGGCAGCCAAGTGGGGCCTCACGCTTGCATTCCCGAGCTCTCCGACCCCTGCAGCTGCCTGACACCTTCTGCGGGACTTGCGCCACGAGGAACAAATAGCAGCGAACAGGAGCCTACGGCCGGGTACTCAGCTTCCCCTACACCTACAGAACCGCGGACGCCGGCATCCAGGGGCTGAGGCCCCGCCCCGGGCTCCGCCCCCACCAGAGCCCCGCCCCGGAGCACGCCCCCGCCAGCACAGCCCTCCCTCCCACCCCGCCCCAGCACAGCGCGCAGGCGCAGCCTGTGGCAGGCGGGCGGCGGCGGCGGCGCGCGG